TTCAAGCAGTTCTCCTGCCTCAGCCTCCTGAGCAGCTGGGATTACAGACATGAGGCACCACACCCAGCTGATCCCAGCACTTTGGGAGGCTGAGGCGGGCAAATCACCTGAGGCCAGGAGTTCAAGACCAGCATGGCCAACATGGCAAAACCCCATCCCTACTAGAAATACAAAAAATTAGCTTGGCATAGTGGCACATGCCTATAATCCCAGCTGCTCGGAAGGCTGAGGCACGAGAATCACTTGAACCCAGGAGGTGGAGGTTGTAGTGAGCTGAGATCATGCCATTGCACTCCAGCCTGGGCAACAGAGTAAGACTGTCTCAAATAATAATAATAATAATAATAAATTTTTAAAAAGAAAAAAAAAGAATCCAATAAATCAGGAGGTTTGACCCAAATTACAAACACACAGCATGGAGTGTTTATTTTTTATGAATCCATGTATAGAATTTCCACTCAATTCTGATCACTGAAAGGTGAGAATGGCCCCAGGGTCCCAGCCTAAGCCCCCTACGTTAGTTTGCTAGGACTGCTATAAAGTACCATCGACCTCGTGGCTTACACAACAAACGTGTTTCTCTCAGTTCGGGAAGGCACAACCCTGAAATCAAGGTGTGGGCAGGGGTGGTTTCTCTGTAGGCCTCTCTCCTGGCTTGCAGACAGCGGCCTCCTCGCTGAGTCCTGGCTGGTCTCTGCTCTGCGTGTCCGTGTTTCCTCTTCTTCTAAGGACATCTGTCTTCAGCCTCATTGTAACCTCATCACCTCTTTAAAGGCTGTATCTCCCAGTACAGTCGCATTCTGAAGTACTGGGGGACAGACCTTCAGTATATGAGTAGGGGGCAAAATTCAGCCCAAAACACCCCCTAATGGTCCCAAAGAGGGAATGAACAATGATCATGTAGCCTTGGTTCAGGGGGCACTGTGAAGTCTGAGGAAGAGACAGCTCACGCCCTCGGGTGCCATGAGGAAGTCTCTGCACAGGTCTGGTTGTGAGTCCTCGTGGCCACGCTGAGAACATTGACTTGCTCATCCTGGAGGTGGGAGTGGGTGGAGGAGTCGGTGCCACTGACTTCCTGCCAGGCTCTCATCCCATCTTTTGGCCCACCTGGGACAGTGCCGTAAACCTCTCCTTGTCCCAACCAAAGCTGACTGTCACCCTCTCTCGTTCTAGGTCGGACTATGATGACTGGAGACCGTCTCTGGCCAGTTTGCTTCAACCCATTCCATTCCCCAAAGAGTAAGTCCCATGCACATCCCCGGAGCCCTCCCACCTGTGAGGCAAACCTCAGTTGTCCACCAAGGCCTTAGTGGGGGACCAGTCATGTTATGGGGAAGCCGAGTCACAGTGGGAAGACCCTGGAGACGTCGGTCCTAGCTCAGCCATGTCGTCAGCTGTGGGACCCCTGGGGAGGCACACCTCCCTTCCTCAGAAAAATGGAGAACTCAGGAGAACAGGGACGTTGTAGGAGCTGTCTGACTGCATTGTCACAAGGATTCATGAGCTAAGAATGCAAACAGAGCCCTCCCCACGGCGCCTGGCAGGCCGTGCAGTTAGCATTTTTTATTACGCACCAGATGGGAACCGTAATACCTGCCGCTCCTCTTCCAAGGGCGATAGTAAGAATTAAAAGATAATGCACGTGGAGTTGCTCGCTGTGCCGTACTGAGATGCTGGAAGCACTCTGACTACGCCCGTTACAATGCTCAGCTCAGGGTCCGCAGCAAACCTGGCCAGAGACAGACCCTCTGCCTCTCCCTTGCCGGCCCCTAGCCGGCCCCTAGCACCGTATTGAAGCGATCACTGGAAACCAGAGAGAATGCTGTCTGGTGGATAATGGCCTGAAGAGAAGGCTTTGTCAGAATAACCAGGCCCTGAAATGCCTCCAGGTCTCTTTCGAGAGGTTGGAGGGAGCCAGCCTCGGGAGGCGGCTGGGGTTCTCCAAGGAGCTGATTACCGAGCGTGTTTATGAAACGCTGCCTCTGTAAGGGCACATTACACGCGGTAATTGCCCCATTTGCTGGCTTGGCCAGTCCCCGAGGGTCCCAGGACTTGAGACCAGAGAAATCCAACTCCTAAGAGGCACTCAGTCTCGGCAGAGTCGTGACGTCTTTGGCTTCAGCCCCTGTCCCCATAGGCCTGGGCGCTCTTGGCTGTGGCAGCTGGCTTAGAAGAATGGTCCCTGATGGCCGCTGATGTGTGCAGTAATGAGTGCCGCCTGCCTTAATTGTGGAACAATTAATGAACACACCTGGGTCCCTGGAGCCCACGTGCACCCACACGTGCTCAGGCAGCAGCTTAGCCCCTCTTGTTCACAGGTGTGGGCCTAGGGAAGTTTTGGAAATGGGGGGCCCAGTCTGTTCCCACTGCTATGATCTGTCACCTCCTCAAAGAAGGCCTTTGTTTTGGAGCTTTGAGTGGGGACAAAATATTGGCATTTTACTCAAATTCCTCTTCATTCTTTGAATCAGACGTGAAGTCTAGACGTCCCCAGAGGTTAATCTTGGGAACACTGTGCTGTTTCCGACGCTTCTGCTAACTGCCGTGTTTTCCCCTGTTTTTGTTACAGAGCTCTCGCACACGAGAAGTTCACCAAGTGAGTTTCTGGGCACCGCCCTCATTCCATTCTGGCATGCACGGCCTCCGTCCTGAGGTCTTCCCTCCGTGGCACGTGCATTCTGGGAGGCAGTGGTGGCTTCTCTTGGCATCCCTGATCCACCAGCTTGGATCCAGCAGCTTGCCCAGCTCCCTGACCCATTCCTGCTTGACACCATCCCCTCCCCTTCCCACACCTCCCACTCAGTCCCAGACCCCGGCAGTAACCCTGGCCGCCTCGTCTGTTCCAGGGAACTGAAGTACGTGATTCAGAGGTTCGCTGAAGACCCCCGGCAAGAGGTGAGGCCTTTCTTTCTGCATCTCAGGCCCGCTGTCTCGGGACAGCAGGATGCACGAGGGCCCCTCAGAGGCCTTCCGAAGCTGTGGTGGGGCCTCCTTGTCAGCGACAGGCATTCGAAACAACTTTCAGAGACCCATTGCCTGTGCGGAAACACAGCCCCGCCTGGTGCAGAGCCCAGCCTGTGATGTCAGTGTTTTACTGTAAACGCCGGCTCACCAGGGGTGGTTTTCCACTGGCTGGTGGTTTCTCCCCACAGCCGAGGCCTTGATTTCGGGTTGGGCTGGCATGGCAGCTCCCAGCCAGCTCTGAGGCAGCATTTTGATCCTGTCTGGTTCTGCTATTATGTGAATCATTGGGAAGAGCAAGGAATCGGAGCTGGGATCAGAGCTGGGTTTTTATTTCCTGCTCATGGTGGCCAAGGGCTTCCCTGAAGGGCTGCTGTGTCCCTCACCAAAGCTGGCCTTCCGGGGAGAGGGCAGCCTTCTGCCTTCTGCCCCCAAGCCTGTGCACATGGGCAGGGACCTAGATGGGCAAGGAAGCCAGCCCGTAGCCCTGGGCCTGCATCACCTGATAGTAGCAGCAGCAGCAGCTGTCCTTTATGAGGTGCTGTACCCCGGGCCAGACACGCTCCTTTTCTCATCCTTACAGCGTCCCTATGAGTGTCTTCTGTAGTATTCCCAGTGTTGCACGGCTTGTTCACGACTGAGGCAGGATTGGAGCCTGGTGCTGATAACCAGCTCACTGCGCTGTGTGCTGTGCCCTGAGATGCTCACAGCCTGCTTCTGTGTGCATGAGTTCTGGTGTGGTAGGGACCTGACTCCCGGTTGAGGACAGACCTAGACTCGTGCTCCCAGCAGAACAGGTGGGGGAAGGACAGGCAGAGGACAGAGGGCGTTACTCTCCGTGGAGCCCTCCCCAGGAGGCTTCCTGGAGAAGGTGGTAGTGAACTGGTTGGACTTAGCTAAATGGATCAAACTGGACCTTAGTCTGGAGGGTGGAAAATGGTGTTTGAGAAGGAATCTGAGGACACATAGACCCCAAGGTCTTGTCGTGTCCAACCATGGTGGGTCTCTCTGACTCAGAACACGCAGTTTATCAGGCTGTAATTCCAGAAGTTCTAGATAACTGTTCTCAAACTATATTACCTGAGTAGCTTGTTCAAAAGGCAGACCCCCCCCCCGCCCGCCCCGCCCCTACATTCCTTCCTGGTTCCAGCTCATGGGGCCTGGGTGGAGCCAAGCATATGCATTTCGACGCATTTTGAACAAGCATCCCAAGTGGTTCTGAGGGACTGGTCTCCAGGCCACACTGGAAAACCTAGTTCTGGAGGGGTCTTGAAGAATCTAGTTCCAAAACACCCCAATTCTAAACACCCATTTCCCCAAGGGATCCTCAGGCGTGGAGGGAAAAAGGAGAAATGGTGGATATGGTGCTTTTAAATGTCAGGGACCAGTGAGTGTCTCCATTCTTCTTCTAAAACTGAAGTCATTCCTTGCCACCTGTGAAGACAGCAGCTCAGAATTCTGCTGGGAACTGAGCCTTTACTCAAACCCAGACTTTGACGTTTGGAGAACAAAAGTGGTACCAGCTGCTTCTCGGAGTAGAGAGGCAGGGCCAGCTGCTGGGAGGGTAATTTTCAAACCCGGGTACCGTGCATGAGGCCCCGAGTGACCTGCAGGTCTGGAAGGAGCCAGCTCCCCTGGCCAAAGTCCCACACCCAGGCCCTTGTTCTCCTGTTTGCCTCTTTCTTTTCTCGGCTGATTCTGTCTCCCTTTTCCTCCTCACTCTTCTTGCTCCCTTCCCTCCTACCTTCACACCTTCCTAAATGAAGCCAAAGTTGTTTCCTTTAAAATTATTTGCTATATTTGTTGAATAGCATCTTATACTCCTAAGTCCTTATTGCTTTGAAGTCAGTAAGTAAACCCTTGATATTCTTACAGCTCAGAGGGAAAAATAAAAGCCACTGCCTTTGTTTTCTGTGTGCCCATGTGTGGGTTGTGATCAGTTTAGTATCTGTGGGTAACTGATTCTTGGCAGCAAATTGTCCTTTCCTAAAGGAAATAATGAGGAACTTCTCTCAGCTTTCTTCCGAGGACGGGAGGAGGTGGGGAAAAGTCCTTTGTGTTTTGTGCGCACTCTCGCTCTCATGCTCTCTGTCTCCCTCACTCTCGCCGCTTTTCCCCCTCTCCCTCCTTCCCTCTCTCTCTGTGTAATCACAGCAGGGGCCAGAGTAGATGCGGAATTCCTCTCATACACTCACACATGTGTGCTCACATGCACAAGCAGGCCCATCCACACAGGCACACAGCTCTGGGAAGGAATGTGAGAGCTCTGCTTTTGGCACTGAAACTGCCCCCAGCCATGGACAGAGATCCTTCAGTGGAGAGGGACAAAGACTCAGGGAAGGAAGTGGGGATGAGACCTAACGAGAGAGGGTGGCAGAGTCCCCAAGAAGAGGGGAGAGAGAGAGAGCTTGGCAGGGCAGATACGTGGAGGGGAGGATGGTGCCCACACAAGTCCAGAAAGGGAAGAAGGCAGACACCCAAGAGGGAGAGTCGGTGCTGGGGGCAGCAGACCCGCAGACAGATAGCAGGGCGAGGTTTCTAGAGAGAGGGCAGAGAGCGCGGGAGAGGAGTTAGAAACACAGAGAGAGGGGGACAGAGAACCGGACAGAGGACGGAGACCCAGGAGATGGCCCCGTCCAGAGGAAGGCATAGCAGAAGGGGAAAGGCGCAGGAGAAGGGGAAAGGGGGCTGACTGCGGGCGGTTGCTCTGGACATCTCTGCCTGGTGCAGCCGCAGGCCCGCTTCATTCAGATCGGCCGGTCAAGCCAGGGCCTGCCCTCCCTCCTGTGCAACTGACAGCCAGTAGCCAGAATCCCCCGGGGTTTTGGGGCCACGGTGTTCCCCAAAAGACCTTTCATGGCATTTGGTGGAAGTCTGGGGGTTGCTGGAGGAAACAAGCGGGTTTCTTGACTGCGGGACTTGCCCGAGCCTTTCCCATTCGTGTGTGCAGATCGCGGTCGCCCTTGTCACCAGGGCTGCATGCAGCTCACACTTGTGTCTTCCCCTGTCTGGCAGGTCCACTCATGCCTGCTGAGTGTGCGGGCCGGCAAAGATGGCTGGTTCCAGCTCTACAGCCCCGGAGGAGTGGCCTGTGACGATGACGGGGAGCTGTTCGCCAGCATGGTATGCAGTGGGGCCCCAGTGGGGCGACTTCCAGGGGGCCCTGGGCTTGCCATGCCTGACTAGTAAAACAGCTGCGCCCATCACCTGGACCCAGCCCTGGAGTTTCCAGGCTTACACAGTGCTGGTCATGAAGGTGGTGGTGGTGACTGTGACCATCACTTACTCATTTCTTATCTGAGGCTCCAAGCCAAGCACTTGGCATCCCAGTTGCACTCCGTCTCTCACAGCTCAGTGAGAAGGGGACACATGTCGTTGCCCCATTTTATACCCAAGGCAGCTAAAGCCTGGGGCGTTACTGCCTAAGGTCACACAGTTCATTGTCATGGTTATGTTCCTACAAGGGATTGAGTGCCCAATGGGACCAGGGATTCTGGAAAGCACTGCAGGTCCACCAGCTTGTTTAATCCTTACAAGGAGGTGTCCCGGTCAGGGTGATTGTCCCCACCATCATGTGCGGTCTGAGGTCACCAAACCAACAGCTGAATCCGTGATGACTTTCTTTGTGCCCGGCATTGTATCCATCACTTCATGTGCACTATCCTTTTTAATCGGTACAGCATCCTTGTTGCTGAATTACATCTCTGTTGAAACAGAGGCCCAGAGAGGTTCGGTGGCGTGCCTGGGGTCACACAGGCCTTCTGTTTCCAAGCCCTTCCTTGGCCAGGCCCACATGCTTGCTTTCAGGAGTAAAGGGCCAGACTCTTCCTCCCCCAGGGCAGATGCTGCACCCTAGTGGCCAGCAGCCTCACTGACTGCACTTGCTGAGAAAACCAGCTCCATTTCCTGGTCACTGGTGCTCCCATACTTGGGCTGGTGATTTGCCTCTGCCAGCTTCAGCCCCTCGTCCAGGAGCATCGCATTGGCCTCTCGAGGTTACCATAGTGATTGCATGCAACAGGAGATGCAGGGCGCCCGGTGGGCCGGCACAGTCGCTGCTCAGAAATGACGCCAGTGGTGATTCTCGTCTCTGCTGGGTGGCTGGTTTGGCTCTCCGCACTGAACTTAGCAAAGATGTTTGTGCAGTGATGACAAATTGAGGCGCTGCCCCTGGAAGCTTCTTGAAAGGGGCTTATTTTTAGGCCCTTTGCCTCATGCACTCCCTCTCCACTCCGTGCCTGCCACCCCAGGCCTCTCAGGGCCCTGCGCATCTAGGAATGTGACTGCCACTGCCAGCCTGCACCACCTCTCTTGCGCTCTCAGTCACCTCTCGGGTTCTCCGCTGATGTCACAGCTTCACCATAGCAACGCTCAGCAGCCCCACCCCCACCCTACAGTGTAGGGATTCGGTGCAAGAAGGCTCAGGGAGCTGGCGGCTTCCCAGCCCGAGAGGTTGCATTGGTATGCCAGAGCTGTTCATGATGGAGCGGAAAAAATACACACAAGGAAGGAAGCAGGCAGCCGCTGGATGGAAGTGTGTTGTTGCCATGGAGACGCATGGCTTGGAAGCCGGCCCCTCGATGAGGCTGCTTTCTCCACCGCCAAGGGCATTTGCCATTGTGTGAAGTTGGAGGAAAGCCAGTGGGGTGTCCAGGCCTCCCCCAAGCCCTGGTGGCCGGGGACCCCTGCCCTTGGGCCCCCATCACCCATGCACCAGAACAAAAGACCGCCCAACATATAACCCGGGAGGGAGCAGGATGTGCCAATTCTTGGATTCCTGGGGCAGGCAGTCTCCCAAAACACCGTTCCGAGCTCACAGCGGGCTTGGCAGAGGTGGCTGGGCTTCGTCACGTCCCCTACCCCGAGATGTACACCCCCCTTGCAAAGCCTGCCTAGAAGTTTCTGCCCGGTTCCAGCGGTGCCAGGAATTCAAAGGATCGACTGTCAGCAGACTCCCAAGGGGAGCAGGGAAGGGGGCCTTTTTGGTTTTGGCAGTAAAATACACGTAACGTAAAAGTTAGCATCTGTAAGCACACTGTTCAGTGACATTAAAGACATTCCCGTTGTTACGCAACCATCACCACCGTTCATCTCCAGAACGTTCTTATCTTCCGAAACTGAAACTCAGCATCCATTACACACTCACTCCCCCTTCCTCTCATCCTCGGTCCCTGACAGCCACTTTTCCTTTCTGTCTCTGAATTTCCCTATCCAGGCACCTCATGTAAGTGGAGTCAGAGTCATCCTTCTGCTTAAAACTTCAACGTAATCAGTGTTTAAAACATCAGAACTTTTATAATGGCAGGAGATTACATATTTAGAGACTCTGTTACGGATACTTAAAAAACTAGCAAGGGCCAGGCACAGTGGCTCACGCCTGTAATCCCAGCACTTTTGGAAGCCAAGGCGGGCGGATCACTTGAAATCAGGAATTCAAGACCAGCCTGGCCAACACGGTGAACCCCATCTCTACTAAAAATACAAATAAATTAGCCAGGCATGGTGGTGCATGCCTGTAACCCTAGCTACTAGGGAGGCTGTGGTGGTAGGATTGCATGAACTCAAGAAGCAGAGGTTGCAGTGAGCCAAGATTGCACCACTGCACTCCAGCCTGGACAATAGAGCGAGGAAAAAAATAAAAATAGCAAGGGCTACATTTGTTTCAATCAATAGACTTTAAATTGCACTCTAGTCAGCTTTTACTGCGTTTAGTATTATAAATTTATACAAAAGATACCCTTGCTGAGATGGAGCTTGCAGTTAAATCAGGTCCTACTAAAAACCGTAAAAGGCAAAAGACAGAATGAAAAGAGGTATCGTGAACGTGACTTTCGCGACTGGCGTATTCCACTCAGCGTAGAGTCCTCAGGGTTCATCTGGGTTAGACCGTGTGCGGGGGAAGGATCTCTTGCATCCCCCGGGGGCCTGGTGATCCTAGAACACTGGCCGTCCGGACAGCGTGTAGGCCGGTCTGTTCAGTGACTCTTGGGCTGGCTTCCTGCCGGTATGCTGGAGGCTGGCACTGGGTGTCTCTGTCCCTTCACCTGGGCCTTCTTGCCTCACAGGTGCACATCCTCATGGGCTCCTGTTACAAGACCAAAAAATTCCTGCTCTCCCTGGCGGAAAACAAGCTGGGTCCCTGCATGCTCCTGGCACTGAGGGGGAACCAGACCATGGTGGAGGTAAGGAGCTGGTCGGGGTCTCTGTCGGGATGGCTGGCTCCCCATCCCTTGTCCTTGCTGATAGAGCATCTGCTGGGAGCCAGGAGCTGCTGCAGGCACAGGGCACAGGGGGCAGTGGGCAAGGCATGCTGTCCCGGCCGCCCTGAGCTTAGCGGGAGCCTCGAGCCTTCATCACACAGTATATTTGTTTCTGGTGTGATCCAGCTGATCCATGGATCGGTGGGGTTGGGGTTGCTTCTGTTCTGCTCATCGATTGCTGTGTAACAAACCACCCCTAAGTGAGGGCTTTAAAACAAGATCGCTCATTTATTTTGCACATGGGCATTGGGTTGCCTGGGCACAGCTATGCACTTCTCACTTGGGGCCTCATTAGTCGGATGGGGCCAGGTTGGATGAGCCCCAAGGCTTCTTGCATTGGCCTGAGAGGCCTCAGACACTGAGGGTTTTGCGGGGTGGGGCTTCTCAGCCACACTCTCCACCTCATGGCGTCTGGGTAGTCTGCCCACCTGCCCAGAACACACACACCCAGCCCTGCAGGCCACCCCTCACCTGCTGCTGCTCCTCTCTCTCCCTGCATGCTCCAAAGTCCCCAGAAGCCTGGGACTCCCAGATTGACTGTCCCAAGGGAACCAAGGCAGAAGCCTTATCACTTTTTAACTTAGCCTCCCTTGGAAGGCAGGCGGCATCGCTTCTGCCACATCGTACTGCTGGCAGTGAGTCACCGTGGCCGGCCCTCAGTCAAAGGCGTGGGAGCTAGACTTCACCCTCAGTGGGAAGAGCATCGAAGAGTTGGCAGGCGGGGCAAAGCCATGGGAGCTCCCATGGAAATGAGAGCTGGGGGAGACGTGAGCCCTGGGGAAGAGGCAGCGGGAAGGTGGGAGCTGAGCAGGCTGTGGGGACAGCCCGGGCTGAGGTCCTGCACCAGGGAGGACCAGGGTGGCTGGAACACAGGGAACCAAGGGGCAAGAGGTCTGGGATGTGGGTGGATGTGCATGAAGAGCCTTCTGGGTACCCAGAGGTGCTGGGAAGGAGTTTGGATTTAGTCTAGGCTGTCCTGTGACAGGGATTCGGAGGCCATGGGGGAGGGTTAAGCAGGGAGACAGGAGACAGACAAGAGGTGCTGTGAAAAGCTTGGGCTGAGTGACCGTTCCTTGGCGAGTGAGAAGTTCTAGGAGAATTGAGCACCATGGCATGCACCTGTAGTTCCAGCAACTCAGGAGGCTGAGGTAGGAGGATCGCTTGAGCCCAGGGAGGCGAAACTAGCCTGGGCGACATAGTAAGACCTCATCTCAAAAGTAACTAAATAAATAAATAAAAATAAGTCATTGGAAAGAGAATGTCAGAGGCAGGGCTGTCAGGCATGTTGACTCCCAGGCCGGTGAGCCACATGTACAGTCACGAGGCTGTCTCTGGAGCTGTGTGTGGTAGACAGGCCCAGGGCTGCCAGCCGTTCTGTGAGCTTGAACACCTGCTCTGTGACAGCCACTGGGGAAGAAACGGGGGGGAGAAAGAGATGTGGCTTTCCACCAGTGCTTGGGGGCCTGCAGCCATCCTCAGGGGCCTGCCCCGTGTCCAGACACAACACGGTAAGCAGATGCCTGGGAGACTCCCATGTCCTTTGACGTTTGAACCTGGAGAACCTCAGTGCGCGGGCACTGGTGCTACCATTGCACAGGCAGGAAGATGGGCAGGGGGTTTGCCCAGCCTCACACAGCCAGGGCTGCGGACAGGGGAGAGTGGGGCTGCTGGTTTTCAAAACAAGGCGCTTGGGACGCACAGAGTGTGCTTAGCTGGGGTGGCAGGCCAGGTCCGTAACGCACCGCTGTGGTTCTGGGCAGATCCTGTGCTTGATGCTGGAATACAACATCATTGACAACAACGACACCCAACTGCAGATCATCTCAACCCTGGAGAGCACAGACGTGGGGAAGCGCATGTATGAGCAGCTGTGCGACCGGCAGCGGGAGTTGAAGGAGCTGGTGAGTGCCCGGCTGCTCCGGACCGCTCCTCTGCCCAGCAGGCCAGGGCGGGTTCCAGGGGAGCTAGTACTTGGAGCTGAGTGGACCTCAGTCTCATTGAATTCTTCTCCAAACCCAAGAAATTGGTATTACCACCTGCCACTTTTCAGGTAATCAGAGAGAGGCCTAGAGAGGCAAAGCAACGCCCAGAGTCACGTAGCTCATTGGAGCCTGGCCAGGACAGTGCCCACCCTCCTTCCTCCATGTCCCTTAGACCCTTCCACTTAAGTGCGTGGGGGCCCAACTTCCAAATGCCAGCACCCACACCTCTTTGCTGAAGGACTTTGTGTGTCCACGTGCATATACTCACATGTGTGCACAGAAGGACAGAAGGGGCAGGAAATTGATGCCTTCTAATCTGCTGGAGCAGCCACCAACCAGTGCCTCTTGGGAGAGTGTGTATAAATACCCCAGCTCCCTTCAGTGTGATATGTTTCACCCATTCAGTGAGGTATGTTTCACCCATTCAGTGAGGTATGTTTGAGACATGGCTTCTCCACCATTTCTTAGAGTCCCCCGGTGGGATGTGGTGCCAGTACCCATCTAGCCAGTGATAGCTGGATTGATAACACCCCTTCCATTATGGGCAGCCACAGTGTCACTTCCCCACTCTTCTACTGGTGTTTCTTGGGGTCACCTTCCAATAAACCACCGGTGCTCAAACCCCATCTCTGGCTTTGCCCCTGAGACCAAGACCACCATGTTGCCTTGTACAACCGAGAAAATAATGATGGCTCCATGAGTGCTGTTAACAGGGGTGGAAGTCCAGGATGGAAACCTGGGGAAAAGAATGGTTGTAACCAGCCTGGTTTCTGTTGCAGCAAAGGAAAGGCGGGCCCACCAGGCTAACACTGCCCTCCAAGTCGACAGTGAGTTGGTTTGGTTCTCTTTGGGGCTGGATGGAGAAAGTGGGTTGGTCCTCTCTGTTGGGGAGTGGCAGGTGGTGTCTGCAGCTGAGATGGGAGGTGATGGAGGGCGAGGCACAAGGACCCCCTAGTACTTAACACGCCAGCTCTTCCAGGAGGTAGCTTAGAGGAAGAGATGTGAAAACCAAAAACAAAGTTAAAATGTGATATAGATCGTTGGTGATAATGGTGTTGATATCCAGTTATTAATAATACTGGGAATAATAGCAGATATACCTTGAGCATTTGTGTGCCAGATGCTATTCTATTAGTTCATTTTATCCTCACAGCAACCCTTGGAGGCTTATGTATCTTACCATTCGCATTTTGCAAGGTCTTTAAGGATCTTATTTCCTTCTGTTCTGATGCCCGCATTATATTTGATACATGGCTGCTACTTCCTGGACCAAAAGGGCTGCTCAGGCTCCAGCCATCTTGTTTCCATTCCAGCCAGCAGGAAGGAGGACATACCCCTTCCTCTTAAGAAACTTCTTGGAAGTTCTACTTGACGTGTCTACTTACATCCTGTTTTCTGGATTTAGTGTGTGGGGCCACACTTAGTGGCAAGGGAGGCTGGAAATCAGCCTTCATTCCGGGCAGCCACATGGCCACTAACACTCAAGGATGGAGGGGAGTCTCAGGAACCTCCGAGTCCAGTGCTTAGGCATGCGCTGATGTCTTCAGGCGTTAGACTTGAGTGTGGCCTCGGTGTTTGCATGAGCTGCTGCCTGGGAGTGAGACAGCCAGCCACATACCCTGATGCACACAGACAGACACACATGGAGACACACGGACACACCCACACACACACACACATACACAGGCATGCACAGACACACACAGGTACAGACACACACATACATGCAGACACACACAGATATGCACACATACAGGCACACACACAAAGACACACACACACAGACGCCTGTGGGAGGATCGTGGCCTCAGAACACCCCGCTGGTGACTCAGGGTGTGAGTCACAGCACTGGAGGCTTTCTCCTCCGCCTGGCAGCTGTCATCCATGGGATGTGCGGCAGCCCCTCCCTCTCTGACCACCCCCTTGGCCCATCCTACCAAGCCGTGCCCCCACCTCAGCTCCTGGGATTTGCCGCCCCCCAGGAACAGCTCCCTGTAGGGCGAGGGAGAGGAGGAGGATAGGGGATAGGAGGGCCCAGGGTCTCAGGAGATCCCAGCAGGTCCCTCAGGCCTCTCCCGCCTCTGCTCGCAGGACGCTGACTTGGCTCGTTTGCTGAGCTCTGGCTCCTTCGGAAACCTGGAGAACCTCAGTTTGGCCTTCACCAATGTAACCAGTGCCTGCGCCGAGCACCTCATCAAACTGCCTTCGCTCAAGCAGCTGAACCTGTGGTCCACTCAGGTACATCCTCCCACCCTGCTCCAGGCCCTCCACACCTCCTCCACCTCTGCACCCTCCTCCCTGTTCTCCTGTACCATCTTCCTTTCCCCTCACCCTCCTCCTTGCCCCCTCAACCTCTTCCCTGCCCCCTCACCCTCCTCTCTGCCTCCCACGCTCCTCCCTGCCCCCACCCTCCTCCCTGCCCC